CTGGAGACCGCGCAGACTAGGGCAGCAATCGAATACCCTGTGTACCGAGGACGGTCAGAACACGACGTGCAACACGTAGTCTTGGATTAGCTTGCTGGAACATGGCGTTTGAGGGCCTCGAAGATAGGGGGACAACCACTGGACGTAAGATGGCAGAAATGTACACATCTCAGTTCAAATTACCGTCGATCTGAAACAGAGATGTCCGTGTCGTGTACCCAATGGCTCCAAGCAGGCGAAGATAGGCCTCGAAGATAGGGCACAAGCACTAGACGCAAGATGTTAGAAATGTACCCATCTCAGTTCAAATTACAGTCGATCTGAAACAGAGATGTCCGTGTCGTGTACCCAATGGCTCCAACCAGGCGACATGAGGTCTCCTCGGAGCCTCCAGATACGTATACGGTCATCAGGATACTACTAATACTACAACAGAATACGTAGCACTGAGATTTGCCTGAAAGGGCAACATTGTGCCACTCCTGTACCCAGCTTCGTCATATGGCGCACCAGAGACGTCGTCTCTCTGTGTGCTACATTGTCAAAGGAAGACATAAGCAATGGTCACCATGCTGATAGCCCACGTTGCTGCAAACGCCGACGCACATTACAAGTACTGGGCATGCTGCAAACATGCCCATTTCCTGGCTAATGGTCCGTGATGTGGTCGTGCGGTTTTGCAAGTGTGACTTCACAATATGTCTATCCTCTCGGGCGTTAGTCACGGGAGGGCGTTGAGATTCTGCATGCCGTTCAGTATAAGCCTCACCAATTCATTGATACCATATTCGCATGACAGTGATTGGATGTCGACCAGTGCGACGGGCGATATCATGGAACGATAATAAACACTCTCGATAAGCAACCATCCTGCCTCTATCGGATTCCGAATCTTGCTGGTAAGCATTTCTTCCTCCTGCTTCGTAACGCTCTGAAATACTAATCATTTGCACATCCCAACTTCTTCTTCCTTTCATGTGATTCTGACGTACGTCAGATATCATTCCTTTCTGGTGTTGCAATTTTAATGGCCAGCAATGTACGTCTTGAGACTTGGCGATAAGATTAAACTAAATTAAATAAAAAAAAAAAAAAAAAAAAGATAAAACAAAGGTGGATCGATTATTTTATTGTTAGCCTAAAGAGTGTTAGCCCAGATGGGCTATTTGTGTCGAAACGGCAGTTTGCGACTATTCACTTGCCACCAAATATTATTGACTTGCATTATATTTAAAGAAACTAAATAATGAAGAATCTGCACGAATGCATGAATGTTTTTCACATTGTGAAGAAACAACGGTACCTAGAGCCATCCAATTTTGAATAACTAGTCCTCCCACCGAACATGAGCACTTCGAAGCCCGAAATTTTGAATTTGTTTTACTATCTATTTAAAATTTTCTAAAACTTTAGCGAATTTTTGATCAATAAACTCAGAGATTTCAAAGCGAGCAATGGCCACACTGTACGAAAAAAAAAAACATTTTTATCTCCAGTGCGCGAGACTGTGTATCGGAAATTCTAAAGATATGCTGTTTTGGTGTTTTTAAATATGTTGTGATATTACTGTTGAATCGAATTTTATGTGTTTTAAGAGCAAAGAACGTGATATTTAATCAATAAATATAACACACAAAGTGTTAGAAAAACGCCCTTTTGGGCGTAATATAAAATCCGAAAGCTTTAAGATTTTATTTTATTTTGTAATATAACTCGAACTTTGAGCAATAATGAGCAGCAATGTTAACAAAATAAATCAACTCATGAAATCAATTAAAAATTTCACTACGTAGAATGCTAAAACTGGTCAGCTAAGTGCGTCCACGCCACATACTTTTTTTTTCCCTTCACCTTTTCTAATATAAGAAACTCATTTGGGATGGTAAATAATCACAGTAACAAGACTGATTTATATCCTAGTAGCTATGTCTAATAATTGTTAGAAGTTTCTTCAATTAAAATCTTATTTTTTTTAACAGCTTAAGGGATGTTTTGATTTTATACCAAGCATATATTTGTGCCCGAATAAAAGAAAAGAAATTTAACAGTTTTTTGCATAAAAGCTTTCATTTGCCTTTAAAATGATTAAACATATTACCTAACTTAGAAGAAAAACATTGTTGAAACATTAAACAGCGTAGCAAAAGGAGCCATTTTCAAACAATGAACCATATTCTAATTTTAGACACAACACTATTATTACAACTATAGTTTTCAACCGGTGCGAAATATTTCTAGTACTGTCTGCTTCTCGAGATTTCTGGAAAGCAAGATATTGTGGAATTAAGGTTATAGATAACACAGTGGTCAATTGTATTTATTCAATTTAATTACAAACTACCAAGATCTACATTTACTCAACATTCAATGCACGTAGCCCTGTATATTTACTTTTCCGGCGCAGCTTTCTCTTAAAATTTGTCTCGCGCTGCAATGCACAAGAAAATACAACAATTTTAATTATAATTCTACTAAAATTACCTATTTAAATATAAAATTCCTAACAATATGTAAAAAACAAACTGAAAATATCACAATAACTGTTTTGTTTGATTATGGAGTTACAGTAAAGAACGAATAAAAAAAAAAAAAAAAAAACTGATGTGTACACCACATGACTTCCTTGTACGGAATATTAAATTATATGCATTTCTTCTTGCATTTCATTTAAACTTATTAGATTGAATTAAACCTACTTCGCCGACAGCGCATAAACCACAATAGAATAAATGCATTCTTTAAAATTCACTTTGTTTACCATAGTGACACTCTGGCGCTAGGTTTACTTAACAGTATCATATTTTGTTCATATTATAACTCAGAATGCACAAAATTTATATCATTTAAAGAATTAAATTAAGATTGAATAAAGAATTGATTTAAATAATAATCGTTGCCACATGTTCTATTCAAATACTATAATAAAGCTAGAACTATGTATAAAAAAATTAAGCAAATAAAACAAAAAAGAAACAGTTTTTCACAGACGATTGAGTATTTCTCATTCAATTAAATTAGTTTTCACTTCGCGACAAGGCAAAAATACATAAAAACTCAAAATATCTGTATTAAAAATTAAAGTAAATCTTAAACGCTTATTTCCTCGAAAAAATTCCAGAAAGGATTAAGCATGATTTAAATAATAAATGAAGGCGTTATCTTTGTTGTTGCGAAGCTAAGTTTCTTCTCCAGATTGGCACCAAATCCGCTACTCAGCTGTTTCAAATGTAAACAAGAGCAATGGCCGCCATCAAAATAGGCTTAGCGGCACTTAAACTGTTTTAAAATTGTTAATAATTCTAAAAATATTGCATACAGATTTACTAAAGGCATAAACCCTTAACCGGAAGATAAAAACTACATAATTCAATAATTTTTAAAGCAAAAAATGTACAATTTACAAACATATAAGAGTAAAGAAACTGAGATCACTGAGCCGATTAACAGAGTGAATGTATTTATAAATATATTTATATACGTTTGGTGCGGCCGATTGAAACCAAAATATGAGATGCACATCTACACGTTATAGTACTCTTAAATACAAAATTTCAACGTTCTGAGGCTACTCGTTTTTGAGTTATGCGAGATACGTACGTACGTATGTACGTACATACGTTCGTACAGACGCCACGAAAAATTCTCTTCAGAATTCATTTTAAAGCAGGTTTTTAGTTTTTTTGGAGGAAAAGAGTCTTTTATTCTGTCCTTACTTACAGATATCACGCAAAAACATCGTTAAATTGCATTCGAAAGCGGTCAAAGTGGATATTTTCGTTGAAATATGCTGCCTGAAGCTTTTCGCGATTACAATACTTCCTTTTTACTTCATACAAGGAAGTAAAAAAATTATAACTAAATTTCAAAGTGAAATCGATAAGATTGGCAATGCCTATTCATAATCCATAAAGGAATTGCCATCTTGTTCGCATTCGCTCCCACTTATAAAATGCGAGCAAATATTTTCACGCATGAAATTTATATTAAGTAAAACAGAAGCAGCTTTGTTACGGAAAATTCAAAAGCTCGCATTGGTTTTTAAAACAAAGATTTAACTAAACTGACGTCACAAGTTTAGCATCCGGGAAGGCATTCACGTCGAAGAGAAAAATACAATGTCTCTTATTGTTCATGTCAAGTTCATTCAGTTATGTTTGTTTTTATGATAATTAGAATTATAATTTTAACCTATACTTTTAAAGTTTAACCCTTTGACTACGAATTAAAATTACCCCGTTTTCTATCCAAGTGAACAAAATATGTCATAAATAAGGTAAATTTAGCATTTGGAATTTCTTTGACAAACGATTTTCAAGCCAAAGGCTGGGACACAAATGTCCCAGCCGTAGACAATGGTGGTATGTCACACATGTAGTGATAAGCACACCTAATATTCTGGAAAACTGTTATATGAAATAGATTTGTATAGTACAGCGGTGTCTTGATTAAAAAAAAAAAAAAAAAAAAAAAAAAAAAACTGGGCAACAAAGCACAACTAGTTTGATTCTACGACTACTACTAATACAGCAGTAATTTTAAACTTTTAGTGGGACGTATATGTCCCCGTTAAAGTTAAACCCGTCAAAGAGTTAAGCGCATTGTAATTATTTCCTCAATAAAATTTACTTTATTATTCACCAAAAAAAAAAGACTGTTCTAAAATTAAAGTACCACTGACCCGAAACGTCTTTAATACACACGTTTGGGCTGAGTTTGACAAGCAGCCAAAAATGGCTGCAGGTGCCTGATCTAGAGTAACATGACTCAGATGGCACTGATACTGGCTTTCTCATATTTGCAATGGGAAAATGATAAAAGCAAAAATTTCCTTTTGACTAAATTTGAAGATTAGTTTGTTAAGTTTAAAAGTAATAGACAGAAACAATTCTAAAATTCAATTGCAAAATAGTCTCATATGAAGATTTTTTCCTAGATAGGAGAAAAAATACAGAATAATTGTACTCACGTACTCACGAACGTACTTTCATGGGCTTGCTTACCTATGCAGTATCTGTGAATGATGCATATGTTTTACAGCTGATGCCATCTGATAGAAAAACAATCTGGAAATTCTTTCCGGTATTTTATTACCGATCTGTCTCTTTAGATAATGGCAGAGATTGACGCCCCTGACGAGTTCGAGTGAGAAACAGTAATACTGATTAAACTGAAACAAAATGTATCATTTTGTAAAAGAAAAGACTTTCAATAACAGTGTTAAATTTTTAAAAACCTTTTATTGTCAATGTGAAAATAAATGAATGCTTTTTGTGTTTTAATAGCAAAATTTTCTCATCTAATATCTTACCCTGAATTCCACAGAACAAAAAAGATAAATCCTTTCATTCTCATTATTTAACTGATCGTGAAAAAACGTAAACTTTTGCTGTCAAAGCTTCATTTTGAATTCTACAGAACGAAAGAGATAAATAATTTCATTCTATAGACTTAAAGAAATTAAAAGTATTATTTTATTGGCATGTCTCAACATTTAATTGATCGCAGAAAAGCGTAAACTTTTGCTATCAAAGCATCATCTTCAATTCCACAGAACAAAAGAGATAAGTCCTTTCATTCTCTGGACTTAGAGAAATTAAAAATACACTGGTTATCATAAATTAAGGAAAAATCACAAATCCACGATTACTGAAAACGTTACAGTGAATTTTATATTACTACCCACAATATACAAAATAGTAAGGTATCAAATAACATAAAGAGAAATTACCACACAATTATTGTAGTATAGAATAGCATATGAAAATGAACAAATCGAAGGTGTCAGTTTGCTATAGTAAAGTACTTCAATATGAATATAATCGCGTCTAGAAGCAATACACCACATTCAGCGATGTGTGATGCTTTCCATTATGCGGTCTATCAGTTCCATAGGAAGCGAGAGCCATCGCCCTTGCAAAGCAGTTGCAAGCGCGGCGAGGGTCTAAGGGGCAGATTGAGAGCAGCTAGACGTCTTCCTAAAGCATCCCAAACGTGCTCGATAGGATTCAAGTCCGGAGATCGAGCTGGCCACTCCATGCGCATAATTGTTTCCTGTTGAAGATAATCATATACGATGCGAGCCCTTAGGGGTCTTGCGTTATCGTTCTGTAACAGGAAAGCATCACCTATTGTCCCGGCATATGGGCGCACATAAGCATCAAGGATACCATCTCTATAAACATGAGCATTCACGGTTCCCCTTGAAAAAACATGGAGGTCTCTGCGTCCATCCAAAGAGATGCCACCCCAAACACAGACACTACCTCTTCCGTATGCATCTCTTTCACGGATGTTTGACGGATGATAACGGGTTCCAGGTTCTCATCATATCAAATAACGCCTATTATCGCTTTATAGACTAAACCTGGACTCATCCGTAAAGAGAATAGCCCTCCATTGCTCAGGCGTCCAGTGGACATGTTGTCGTGTCCACTGCAAACGGTCCCTCTTATGGCGTTACTTAAGCGGCACGCAAATGGTTGTTCGCCTCGCATACAGACCACCTTTGTGAAGCCTTCTACGCACAGTTGACGCTGACACCAACCTCCCGGTGGCTGCAGAAGGGAGGGTCTAAGAAGAGTCGGAGTAGCGGTTCTATTCCTGAGTGCACATAATGTCAAATATCGGTCGTCGGCGCTCGTCGTAGCAGTTGAACGTCCTTGAAATTGCCTCCAAAGTGTATGAACCAAAGAAGGACTCACATTTAGCCATCTGGCCACTTTTGTTTGACTTTGTCCTGCCTCTAGTCTTCCAATGGCTCTCCATCGCAGTTCTGCACGCAAATGATGTTTGGAGGTTATTGTTACGAATTGGCTATCTCAGATTTCTGATGTCACTATCACAGTGAAATATGCGGGCTTGCTCTCAAACATGGACTTTTTATGCAGATGACGTATTCCGAGTGCAGCGCCACTGATTTGCATATTGGAGTTTTACTCAGCTACTCTTACTTGCCAACATATTCAAATTTTACACGGTTTGGCTTATTTTTGAGGGAGTTATCGCTATTTTTGTGATTTTTCCTTAATTTATGATAACCAGTGTATTATTTGCCTGACATCTTCTCATTTTTCATTATTTAGTTGATCTTAGAAAAGCGTACACTTTTGCTGTCAAAGTTTCAATGTTTGCAGCGACCCATACTCGTTTTTTGATGATCCGTCTTCAACCTGATAATTATTTGAATTTAAATTTATTCTGATTATTATCTGTATTCTTATTTTAATTATTCCTTGAATTATTCTCTGAATTATATTTCAGTTTTATTCATCTATTCCTTCAATAAACTGCGCTTGGCAGAAAAAGAATCAGATTAGAGGTATGTAATTTTCTAAATGATTTAGCAGTATTATTATTTTTACGTGTTCCGCCCTAAGGCACTTCACGGAAGGGAGGGATGGATGCCTTTGTGGAGGACTTTCTAAGGGAAACCGACTCGTATTAATACGTTACGCACTGGGAAAACCCCGAAAACGCCCATGCACCCAGCCTGTCCGCGGAATTCAAACCTCGGACCGCACTACCAGTGTTCAAGGACTTTACCGCCTGGCCACTGATGGGCCTGGTTTAGCAGTAGAAGAGAAGAGAGAAAGAAAGTATGCTAGCGAGAACGCATAAGTATACCAAGCAAGACCAAATGCTGCTTACGAGATGAAAGCGCCCTTTCCTTCCATAAATGCGGCTTGTGTCGTAGCAAACTACATTTTGATTTTTGAAATGTAATTGCAACTTGACACAGAAATCATGCTACGAATGCTTTGAAAAAAGTCAGCAACTGCATTTTTCTCAATCAGTAGTTGTGAATTTTAACTGCATGCGAAACGGCACAATTTAAAAGCAGCTGACGGGAAAAGAACTCTTTTCAACAATACAAAAGTGAATATACATTGCTGGCCATTTAAAGTTGCGACAGCATTAAGGAAAGTAAATACAAAAAAGATATTGTACGTAAACAGTACGGCATAAAGACAAAGCTATTAAATTTGTAAGCACTTTGGAGGTTTGCAGGAGTGCGAAATTAGTAGAAACAACTGCCACCCTTAGTAGCTAAAACGGCCCTTATCCGGGTAGGCATGGAATCGAACTGGGCTTGGATGATAGAAAGGGGCAACTCATTCCATGCTGCTTCAAGTCTATGCCACATTTCATTAACCATATTAGCTGGGTAGGGGTGACGGGCCAGTCTCTCAGTAACCCATGACCAGATGTTTTCAGTGGGTGACGGATCTGGAGACCTGCAGGCCAGGCAGCAGTCGAATACCCTATGTATATAGGAATGTTTGAATACGACGTGCAACATGTGATCTTGCATTATCTTGTTGGAAGATGACGTTTGGAACGCCTCGAAGATGGGGCCCAACCACTGGACGTAAAATGTCCTAAATGTACCGATCTGCGCCTAAGTTGTAAAGTATTTCTTCCGCCTTTATGGTGTAGTGGTCAGCAAGTTCAGCGCGTATACGAGAGGTCCGTGCTTCGAATCTCGGCGAGGGCATTACTCATTTTCCCATCTCTTGCTTTAAAAAAATTCGTAATGTCTCTACAGTGGCGCCCGAACTAAAAAAAAGGTGGTGGAGATGATTATCCACCACCAGGATTTGGCGATTGTGTCCCCTAATAGTTGCAAAATCTATCGAATTCCGACACTTGCTGATGAGCATTTCTTCTTATTAGTCGAGAGATAACACGATATTCTGAGCAAACTTCGACTTTACCAAAGGCTTTCCGAATGACAAATCCACTACAATATGTACTGCTTCGTTTAGATGTCGTTTCTCCCTTCTGAGCCGTCTAAATACGGTGAAATACTAATCATTTGCATAGCCCAAACTTCTTTCTTTCATGTGATTTTGACAGTCGTCAGATCATTCCTTCCTGGCGTTGCAATTTTAATGACCAGCTGTGTGTGTGCGTGTACATATGTGTAAAGTAAAAAATATGAAAGCAAACTTCTAAATTTAATTCACTATAACCTCTCTTATTTCATTTGGGAACTTCATCTCTCTGTCCTAAAAATAGCGCTGTAAGTCTAAACTGCGTCATTCAAATTAATCATGCGATCTTACGTAACGCTTAATGCAAAGGCCTCTTCACCAATCACCAAATTGTAAACCAAAACTTAAAACTGAAACTTTTGCCTTCCTCTCTTCTTCCTTTGCATTACTACTGCGACGCTCTTTCTCTTCTCGCTTACACTTTCATGCTATTCAGTCGGTGCAGCAATCATGCTTTTATCGCCATAGTATCAAAATTGTACTCGTAAATGTTCGTTAATAGCCGCGAGTAGAATGCCAAGTGGCCACAAAATGAGAATTTAAATAATGTGGAATTTAATTCAGCTCGACTGTTTATTCTTCAAAATGGATGGACGCTCTAAGCATCAAGTATCTACGCTATCAGCATTTCTACGCATCTAACGTTGGACATCAATGCTTCCAAAAGTGTGCTACTATTACATTTATTAGTCATACAGAATTGGACTATGCTAATAACCTCAACGGAACATTTATTCCTCAGTTGGATTTCTGTAAAATAGTATCTGCAAATTCATCATTCTGAAAGATATGATCGACTATTCAAATATGTTGTGCTATCATTACATTTTTTGGCGAAAAATGTAATGATAGCACAGCAGTTTGCGCCAGATGCTTGGGGGGAGCATTGCGAGTTCAGTTCATCAACAGTGAAGTGCTTCTTAAATTGTTTTATTTGATGGAAGTTGGTGAGTTACTGTCTGTCTATGAGAAGAACAGTTCCCGCAACAGTGTCTGGCGGGTGGCGGTCGCTATAGCAACAGGCCTAGTATATTTCAAATAGGGCCGAACCAAGGGTTGCCAATTCATGTTTAAATGCACCACGATGGCAAAATGAAAAGTAAATCGTCAAGACACCCCTACGGAGAACGGGTCAAAGCTCGTTTCTACGGCAATAGACAGCTGCAGACTAGCTGGCGAGAGCTTTTCTTATGATAGACAAACTCTATTTACCTCAATTCTTGTGGTTCATCTCAAATCATGTCATTATTGCAGTGTTTTGGAAAGAGCAAATATTTCTAATCTCTTTTGTATGAGTCCAGAAAATATATACTCAACCCGAGTTAAACAAATAGTAGTGGATAATAAACAAATAGTAGTGGGTAAATAAAACTGCACCAATCCCTCATTTAAT